GATATATTTTTTTTTTTTTTGAACCTAAGTGAATTTTACCTGCCAATAGTTTTTATTTGGAAGTTGATAAGTTGGAGGTCACAGACCTCCAGCTCAAATTGTTTTCGTCTTGTTTACATGGAGACCCCCCGGAAAATATCCTATTTTAGACTGCACATTTTCAGGTTAAGATTTATGGACTGAAAGCACGCATTTCAGCTATATTTTTGAGTCGCTCCATCATTTCGTATTATTTTCTGTGCCTCTCGAGTTAAAAATGTCATTGGTGAGGAAAGGTAATGCGTCAGATGGACTATTCAAGTAAGGATTTAAACTTTTTAGGAATTTGAGAATTGTTGTGTCCTTCTCAAAATTTTACGTAGGCCACGATTCGTGCAACACAAATTACTGAAATTAACTCTTAACCAAGGTTTATATTTAGCAGTGGTCACAGAAAATTCGATTTTCCCGCTTTTCTCGCAAAAAAGCATCAAAAAAACATGAGTCTTTTTAGACCGAATTGCACAGTGCACACGGCAACGGTTTTGGCAAGTTTCTCAATCCTGAAGCGATCCTCCCCCACTCTTGCGTACTTCCAAGTGTAAACAACATACAATAGCTGAGCCGGAGTGCCGAGATAGAGGTTATCATAAATTCAAACAGCAGAGACTGTCGTGGTAATATTTTGTGTGCGATTTATTCCAAGGGAAACTGTGTTCTCTATGAGTAGGAAGTTTAAGTTGGTGCATCGCAAGATGTTAATATCTTGGTTAGGAGTTACTTGCAGCACTTTTTGCTCCATATATCATGTTCTACGTGACGTTTTAGTGAGAAAACATGTTTCACAATGCTTAAATTTTCACCTTTTCTCGTGGTCTAACACTAGAAAAAATTATCTCCGTTGCCAGCCCATGCTCCTTGTTTCTTCCACAGATCGAGTTTTCTTCACCATTCTCATACATACTTATAATTAAATCATTTTTTAACACCTAAAACTAACAAAAAGTTTTAGTCTAGTACAAACACCTTCTACTTGAGTTAATGTATCGGCTCTGTAGATACAGAAGTTAGCTCTGAGAATATTGCGAGTTCACTTCATTTTTGCAGCCGAAATGTAGATTTAGTATTTAAAATTTGCAGCAGAGAGATTTAGGTGTCATTTTTACATGTCGTTTCCTTTCTTTTTGACTTAATTGAAAAGCATTTTCTGAAATCCACAAAAATCATAGCATCGCCTAAAACCCTTCCTCGTTCCAATTTTCAATGATAAAGAACTTCAAAAGAACGAGATCAGCTCGGGGCGCCTTCAATTTTCCGTGATACCTCACGCTTTGGCGCGAAGATAGTTTAGTTGCCGATCCGAGCCAAACCTAACTAAGGTTACTGATTTCATTTCTGACTAAAAATGAGTAAAAACGCTTCTTATTATCAGTAAAAGTGTCTGTCGTGGGGTTGATTTCAGTCCTTCACGACATCCTTCTTTGTATTTAGACGTTGATTTATGCTATGGATGAGCATTATCCTAAAGAGGAAATTTAATCTTCTCCTTGACAAAAGATGCTCCCTCAGACTTCCGAGACTTAGAAACTCTTTTAGTTATCTTCACTAAATACATGAAAAATACACTGACACATGGATGTGCACTGTGCAAAGCGAAAAGTCAAAATGAACAACCCTCAGGATGTTCCGGGTCAATTACCTCATAAACACTCTGATCTCAGCCTCGGCGATCCTCACTCAACGACGTCATCACTACACTTGAGATTTTTTCGAGGAGTTCGTGCGTGAAGGAAATTTTGAGAAGAGACCTTAAGTTTCGGCCTCATGCTGAAAACTTAAAAAAACTGCGTCGCGTCGGATTTTTGGGGTGTTTCATATAGTTGGATTTAGTTTTAAGGGGGTTACTTCAACAGGCATTCTCAATTGAACCGATCCTCGTCGACTGAAATGTCGCGGGAAACATAATGGTGCCGCTAATCTCTCTGAGATTAACCTTCAGGCTGAAAAAAGCCCTTGAAGATGGGGCCTTATCTTTGCTCCTCTGACGTAAGGACGCATCTGAATTTTCGCATGATCCCTTGAAACACCGAAAAAAAATTCTCGGCGTTTTTACAAAGGTCCGTTGGTACCTTTACCATCTCACTTTTTTTTTTACCAATTATTGGTAATTTTACCAAGACAGACTGGTAAGCTTACATAAAACTGGTATTTTTACTGTTTTTTTTCAGGTAAGAATACCACTTTTATTGGTAATCAACTCCCGGTAACTTTGCCATTTTATCTCGGTAAGTAATTCTACCACAGTTGATAAAAAATATTGGCGTTTTTACCAAGGTCCAGTAAAATTACCGAGAAAGTCAATAATTTTACCGAGATTTCTCGGTAAAATTACCAATTCCATAAATGGTAATTTTACCAAGTAAAAACTGGAATCAAATAGTACCCTGAATTCTTGGTAATTTTACCCTTTTCTTAGTAAATACGCCGAGATTTTTTTTCAGTGTAGGGAGGTTCCGGGTAACAAGCTCTTAAGAAGAATGATCTTTCGCGCGGGCCGACTACGAGCCCATTCGTCACCAAATTAATTTCGTCTTTTTCTTAGGAAACCTAATACAATAGGAAACTTTCAAGCTTCTGGGGGTATCCACCAGACTCCCCAGGGGGCCAGGGGGCCCTGGGCTATACTGCCGTGCTAAGGAAGAACGCCGTATGAACATTCGAGAGTTGCCAAATTTCCCTTGATAAAACATGTATTTTTAACAACATTCATGCATATTTTCCTTTGAAATTTTCAGATATTTTAGATTAAATTGCGTGCGCAGTTGGCTGACAATTTTGGAAAATAATGTTCACAATTTTCCCACGAAATTCGGTTTTTATCGGAAGAAACTTGGCACCGTCTGAGGACTCATACGGCGTTCTTCCTTAGCACGGCAGTATATGAGTCTCCACTGCAGTGTGCATTGCATATGTATACTTTCTAGCCTTCCGTATCAAAATATCGGAAAATCGATAAAATGTTTGTCTGTAAGAGGTCAAAATTATTCATTTATTGATGGTGACGTCTACCCCCAGAATTAATGTCTTCTTGACCAGTCAAACGTTCATATTTTCGGGTGAGGAGTTTCAAACACGGGTAAAATGCTAACAAGGAAAGCTTTTGAAAAGGGGGCTCCCCGCTACCGGGGATATATGTATAATTCAATCAATCTGCAGGGACTCTCTTTCATAATTGGACGTATTTATGCTAAAAGGAACTATGTGCATAGGGTTAGCGTGACACATAGTTCCTTTTGACATAAATACGTTCAATTCGTCGTTAACCGAACAAAAGAACGTAACTCCATTCAAAGGTTGCAAAATTGACTCAAACCATTCAATTTTTTGCAACATTTTACTCTCGCAATTTTTGTGCAAAATTTTCTCCGATTTTGGCATGAGAACGGTAGACGATTCAGAGACATTTTCAGTAACAATTTCCAAGGATATCCTGGAAAATATGCAATTTGCGAGGGGAAATTTGGCAACACAGAAATGTAATTACGTTCCATTGCAAGGAGAACGACGAATTGATGAAAATAAAACGGCACAACCATCAAAATGATCTCGGCGAGCATGACATGAGAGAGATTTAGCCAAGACATTATCTAGATGGTATCTGTGGTGTGCTTGTTCCCTGATTTTCTCTGCTTTTTCAGGAGCTCATCCCCTTTGAAGAAACCCAAGTTTTCTCCCAATTCTGTCGTGCTAAGGAAGGACGCCCTATGAACATTCGAAAGTTGCCAAATTTTCACAGATATAATGGTTATTTTTGAAGTAAATTTTCGATCATTTTTCTTGAAATTTTCAGACTCTTTGGTTCAAATCACGAGCAAAATTACCTGAGAGATTGAAATAAAAATATTCACAAATTTTCTTGAAAATTAGTGATTTGTCGATGGAAATTTGGCAACGCCTGCAGGTTCATACGCCGTTTTTCCTTGGCACGGCAGAATTCTCTAGATTTTCTTGGGGAAAACTACAAAATTCCCTCTGGTTCAAGGTATGAATATAGTTTTTCTTTCATTTTTCGGCCGTACCTTTGGCGCACATTCAAATGCTACTTACAAAGGCGTTCCTGATGTTAATATTATCTAGTCAACGGGAACTTTTCTATTATTCTGATGATCTTAAGATTCAAATATGTCACTCAAGGGGTCAATAATGGCGGCTCAGGTGCAATATCATTATATCTATTCAGTGCGTAGAAGAAGATATTCTCGGTGTATTGAAGAGATTCCCTGCTTCTTTCCCTGATTTGCTCCCTGATTTACCCTGGAAATCCCGGTTTTTCCAGGTTCTAGACACCATGGATTAGTATGGAATAATTCGTCGTCATTTCTTTATTTTGTGCAACTTTTGCACATTCGACCGTGATAACGAGTGCGGAAAGAGTGTAAAACCTCAAACAAGGTTCTGGAATAGAAATTACCAAGAGTATACTGCCTTGTTGAGCAAAAACGCCGTAAATCCATCGAGATTTTACCTCGTTTTTTGGAACTTGACACTTTCTGAAATAAAAACTATTTCACCCATGCACCTCAAATTTTCAGGTCAAGTTCTTGATAGTATCTGCAAAAGAATTCTGTAAAAACATTGTCCCAAGGTACACAAGTTTTTCTGCAGTGATACATGGATTGCATTTAGCAAAAAGGAACCACTAGCATTGCAATGTTGCTAAGATTGTGCAACTTCTTTTGTCTTGGAGGAAAAACCCGATTACCCCTTAACAGTTTCTATTTTACTCGCTAAAAACTGTAAATTTAAGACAAAAATTACCATCTAAATTTCATAGTTTTTCATAATTTCCGCAATTTTATTGCAAAGGATGAAGTTGCACAATCTTAGCATCATTGCAATGCTAGTGGTTCTTTTTTGCAAAATGCAATCCACATTGTTTCCAGAAAATGGAAAATGGCGTATACGGCGTTTTTGCGTTGCACGGCAGCATAATGTCGTGAAAATGAAACCATGAAACTCACCCGTCCTTATTCTGTTCGGCGGCGCGATCCCGCTGCCTTCTATTTTTGAACCAATTCGAGACTTGCGTGGTTGTTAACCCGGTGGAGTCGGCCAACTCCCGCTTCTCTCGGGGACTAGGATACGGGTTATGAGTATACCACTCTCTAAGCACAGTCCTGGACTTTTCCTTAAAGCAATAACTGACCTCCTCCCCGTCCCAGATCGTCTTGGGCAGCGGGAATTTTCTCCGGACGCGGTACTTCCCGACGGCGCCCAAGGGTCGACCCCTCTGTTTCTCCGTCTCCAAGTAGTGGGCTTTCATCCAGAGCGCTTGGAGCTTGGGGTGGTTGTGCGGGGAGAAGGAGTGATTCTCGAGAATTTTGTAAAGTTCCTTGAAGTTGCCTTTGTGGAAGGCGACCATGGCCTTGGCTTTGAGGACGCTCTCATTCTTGTGGAGCTTGTCGCAAGCCGGCAACGACCAGATGAACCTCCCCAGTCGGTCGATGTTCCCGGACTGCTGAAGAACCTCGCACACACAGGCGACCTGGTCTTGGGTGAACCCGAAACTAGGCAACAAAGGACTCATTCCTGGAGCATGCTGATTTTGACTCAACATCATTCGCGCTTCGCCTTTTATCACAGTCTTTGCATCCTCAAACTCGATCACCGCCCAGTAATCACAACACCATGCCGTACGCTATTACGATTGCAATTGACACTATAGATAAGTGCAGCACGCACAGGCGATCACACACGAAATTAGAACACCAGTTCGAACCGGACCGTAAAGTTCGAAACGAATTCTTTTCGGAGAACACACAAGAGTATACGTTTCACGACGGAACTTAGTCAATCACAATACATCAGAACATAGTGAAATTTGAGCAAATTTGACTGCACTTGTTTCGATTGACACTTGGGAAAAGGAATCTGAAAAAGCATGATATCCGAGGCCCGGCCGGAGTCTCGCGCGCTATCACTGTTGAACCGTGGGCTCTCAACCGATCACTGAGGGACGCACAGAGAGAGCTATAGAAAGCGTGGCTGTAGCCACTTGGAGGGGCTACCGTGCCGTTCTCGCGTCCTATTGGTCCCCGAGTCATTGCGCCGCCTGGGTGGAGCTTAACTCTCAAAGGCGGGTGCTAACTTTACTCCTCAAATTTATATCGGAGCAATTACAGTCAATTTATCTCATTTCTTGCGGGGGAGCCATCTACTACCCTTATTAATTACTCGAGCTTTCCGAACTCTTTTCCGTTTTTCTGCCGTGTGATTTGTCACTCGCCCCGCACGGCACGCCACTGTCTGGAGCATGATGATCTTAGATACGGGCTGAGTAAAAATGCCGTAAGAGACTTTAGACGTTGCCGTATTTCCTACAATTAAAAACTATCATGCTGGGAAAATTTTACAATAAATTTTTTTGATATTTTTTTTTTACATTACAATAAAAGAAATAAAGGTAAATTTCACGAATAAATACGTGTAACTTTTCTCATTTCAATCCCTCGCAAAATTTTTCAGCAGAGGATGATTTGACAACATTTGAATGTTGATACAGCGTTCTTCGTCAGAACCACAGGATACTACTTTCAAGTGGATTCTTTCGTCTCGGTGCAAACTTATTTCGCAAAACAAAATGGAGTCTGGAGAGGACACAAACTAAATTTTGCGTCGATCAGTTTTGTGTTGGGATCTCTCTCTATTTCTTAATGAGCTTTTGCCGTCAAAAATAAGGATATAAAACCTAACTACTTTTGATATTTTTAGGAGCCGCGTCCATGGCACGGCGCCAGTTTTTCTATGAATTCATTTATTTATTCATTCATTCATTCATTCATTCATTCATTCAGTATTACTTTTAAGATGTTTTTATCGATCATGTACCATTTCTCCTCTGACGTTTCCTGACTGGAATTCCGATGGGATCTATTAATTATAGGGAAGAGAAATGCCGAATCTTTTTGAGTAGTTCTGTGTGGCAAGATTCACTACATAATTTTGTGTTACATTAGTCATTTTTAAACATTTTTCTTGCATTTGGCAAATGCTACAGAAAATAGAAAAAAGAAAAAACAATTTTTCTTCAAGAAATTATTTGGAAATTTAAGTGGAAAACGCTACAGGAGGATAAAAATTAACTGATCTTTTGCCACGAACCCGTTTTCCCTTTCTTAATACATTTGATTAGAAATTTTCTTTCGTGTATCAAATTTGTATGGAAATCGTATTGAATGGGCACTGACACATTTATCGACAATTTTAAAAAAGATGTATGTACTCTGCGTGCGGTGCGCTGATATTTTAAATGATTAATTTCGTGACGAAATTATTTCATTTTTTTCTCTATTTTCTTTTGTTAATAAAGTCTCTTTGATTCTATTTTTCTTTCTTTCCCTTATTGTAAAACACACTGTTTTTGTAAACACCCTAACGTTAATTTTCCCAGAGGTGTAAATAATGACCTCCGATGACAAGGCACCTCATAAAAATAGACTCATTCTACTCCTACCACAAGATATTCTACTGGATGCTTCTTTTTGTTTCCTTTGGAAAGCAAACCACTGTCAATATGAATCCCCACCCTAGTGTATCATCGCGATTCAAGATTTCAGTGATGAATTAGAATGGGCATAATGCGCCTGTTAAAGTCTGTTGGGTATATGTGTATTGATCGAAGCCTCAATTCTACCTTTCAGTTTTACGATGCAATAAATTGTGGGGAAAAAACTTGCAAGTAAGTTGTGGTATGCCTTGCGCTTTTTGATCTGTGGACCTATATAACGCAATTTATAAAAGGAAATAATAATCTTCAGAAGGCTTTGCCTTGATCTCTGAAAGCACTACGAACAGGGTCATATTCATGAGCTCCAAAATTTTATAGTTCCCTCTAGAGAGTAATTTGAAAAGATCTTAAAGTTGAGGGGACTTCTGAATGCAAAAAAGAGAGTGAAGTGTGGAAAAATTAAAAAATGAATGGCAATAATGTATTAGATGAGGCATCAAAATGAAAAGGAAATTCCCTGTTTTTTCACTTCTCAGTGAAGGACATTGAACTGTGGCATTTTGAATTTCACAACGCTTTTGCACCCTGCACTAACCGAGTCCTGCTGTGGCACTTTTGTTCCTGTTTACATCATGGATAGCAGAGGAAGAATCTTTGAAATTCGCGTCACCCCTGAGTCATCTCAATCGACGCTTGGACTCTCGCAAGCACCGAAACCACTTTACTTTTTTGTTAGGGTAAATTTTCATCATGCGTCAATTTGCTTACTGCGAGCGAAAAAAAGAATGGAAAAGGCCATCATTACGCAAGTCTAGTCTTGTGTAAAATAGACGTAATTGTGCTTAAAGAAACTATGTGCATAAGGATTGCATGTAACATAGTTCTTTTTAGCATAAATACGTCCAAATAGGTATTTAATGAAGCGAGGAGACACTGCGTGATGTGTCTAGATTTTGGCGTTTAACTAGAACGTATGCAGGAACATCACGGAGATAAATACTTAAAAGGAGGCCCAAAAATTAACCTGGGCGCTACTTTATGTATAAGACGTATAGTTTTTGGGTGAGAGATTGTCAACTACTGCCGTGCTAAGGAAGAACGCCATATGACCCTTTAGATGTTGCCAGATCTCCATCGACAAAGCACGAATTTTTTGGAATATTCATGTACTTTTTCCGTTCGATTATTCAAGTCTAAATTCGGTCTAAAGTATCCAAACATTTCAAGGTAAAATATGAATTACCCCCTTCAGGAATGAAAATATTCTGAAAGGCAATTGGGCAGCATTTGAATGCTTATACGACGTTTTTCTGTAAAACGGGAGAATCAGTGGCGAGACGTGAACGATCGATAATCGAGTCCTCATTTGAAGCTACCGTAAAGAATCGATTATCACTGTTTTCGTTGCGAACACCCTATCTATCGATCCTTTTCCATAGTTTTAAACGGCAGATCAGTCGATTTATCGCAAAGAACGCTACGCCACTGGGTATTATAGTGGTAGGAGGAGGAGAACTAGTCCGAACTTTACGACCCAACCCTCATATCAGCGCGGAGCGCCCATTTTTTAAAAAAATCCGATAAAAAATTAATTATTTATATGGGAGGATATGAGGTCGAGCCCATGAACCTAACGAAATTTTAAGGAAAGGGCTCAACCCTGCCTGTTATGTTATTACGCTGCCGTGCTGAGGATGAACGTCGTATGAACATTCGAGAGTTGCCAAATTTTCACTCGATAAAATCTTTATTTTTGAGGAAATTTATGATTATTTTTCCTTGAAAACAGACGTTTGGATCAAATTACAAACCAAATTACCTGAGAAATTGGTATTCAAAAATTTTCCTGAAAATTTGTGATTTATCAGGGGAAATTTGGCAACGTCTGAAGGCTCATACGGCGCTTTTCCTTAGCACGGCAGTATGTATGTTGAAAAATCGAAACGGAAAGTATGACGTCCCTCGCGGACGGCTCCTTGACGTAAATTCATGACGAGTCTAAGCATACGCATACGATAAAAAGGCGGTTCATATTACGCACCGAAGTTTTTGCTGTCCATTCCAAGGCTCAGTTTTTTTTCTCTGAGACCTCGGTTATACGAACCAAAGTTAGGTTTCTGCATCAGAAACTTCGGGCCGAAAAATTGTGGGTGCCATTTATATCTTGAACGAAGGTTTTCTTTCGTTACATGCCGACATTCGTCACAGATTTACGTCAAGCGCCTGTAATAAGCACGAAAGTTAATTTTTCTTTTGCCAGTTTGCTGCGGTACTAAGGAAGAACGTCGTATTAACATTGGAGAGTTACTAAATTTCCTCGAATGAAGCATGCGTTAGTGAGGAAAGTTTTCCATAGTTTTCCATGAAATTTTCAGTTTTTCTAGATTAAATCGCGAACAAAATTATCTAACAATAAGCAAATTGGAAACAATTTTTTACAATTCTCCCGGTAACTTTGACTTTTATTGAAGGAAATAGGCGAAATCTGAAGGTTCCTACGACGTTTTTCCTTAGTGAGGCAATATAACTCTACCGATGCACAGTGGATCGAGCCAATCAGGGAGGTCGGACATGAAATTTTTCACCAAAACTGCAAATTTTGATGTTTAATCCGTCACATTTTAAATTTAAAGGGACGCCTCTGCAAGGACATTTCACGAGGAAACCAATGGAACCACTTTTAGACCCTCAAAGATCTGTATAAACGGAGTTATAAGCGCAAGTTTTCAAATGTTGTCCGACCTCTCCTATTGACTCGATCCACTGTGTGACAGTGCTGCTCTCGATACATTTCATCCAAGAAAAGGCAGCTACTTCAAATATTCAAGATAGATTTAAAAATTCCGATAAAATTCCTCGTATTTATTCTATAAAAATGCTGATCGGAGGTCATTTTCTGTGCAGAGCTCTATGAAAATTGATCTGGAGTAATTTTCACTCAATATTGAGTGCGGTCAGTTCAGTCAGTTGTTTGATTTTTCTCGAGAAATAGTATGCGGTTATAGCTATGATCTACAGTGGAAGCATCAAATCACAAACGCATCCAATTCCGCTGACTTCGCGGCTGACTTACCTCGGTCCAAAAAGCTCCTGTCGCTGTAATCAATAGTTTTAGCTCATAATATGCTGTCGCATGCTAAAAAAAACACGTCGTATACATACGATTGGATAATGGCAAATTTCTTCAGTCCCTTGGATAGGGAACATTGATAAGAGTAAGGAGAGCGAGAATAATCATGAACTAGTATACCCACATATCGACGATGGAACTACCAGACCATGTTTCTCGATTTGCAGCGTCGCAGACTTTCTGTCATACCGTATTTTCTAAATTGAAAACTATTCAACGTCAATTCTTGAGAACTTCCGTGATTTTTCTTCTCTGTGCGAGGAAAATTCTGCGAAAGCTGGAGGGAATGACATGGCGTTCATTTTTTCTCCTTCAAAAAAATAAAATGGGAGCGGAGATTTTTACACGCTGCAAACGAGATA